TTGATCTCCTCTCGTGGTGTCAAGATTTTCTTTCTCCCTGTCCTTTTCTTGGTTTGCAATCCACCGGTCTCCCGATAACGCTGAATTGTCCTCTGAACTGTACTCTTTGGGATTTTGAACTTTTCGGAGATTTTTCCCATTGATAACTTCACAGAGCTCTCCCCTTTCCAGTCCTGAATAATTAAATCCCGTAGTTGGATGGGAATTTCTTTCCGGGGTTGACCCATGACTTAAATCAAAAAGTTTTTGTTGTAAACTACAGACAATAATCTAATCTACAATTTATAAAAAAATTGCTTACCGAAAAAAATGGTCGTCGCGAATATTAAAAATTACCCAATTCGTACGCAAACTTTTTCCTCGTGTTTTTCAGCCTTCATGCGGAAATACATTAATGGCGCTAAAAGTGGCAACTTTGTGGGGAAATTTTGTACGTAGTGAGAAACTTAGATAAATTTAGCATGCTACGAAAAAAATTGGACATCATACTCCAAAAAATGAATAAATGACAACGGATTGAAATTCTTGAAACATCTCGTACGCAAACTTTTTCCTCTAACTGTATGTCTACATTTTAAAGAATTTTATGAATAATAAGTAATTAATTACTTTATTCGTAATTAGGGGTTCCAGTCCCGGGATTTTTCGGGATTTAATTCCCGGGAAACGGGATCCCGAAATCCCGGGATTTGAATGACTGAAATCCTGGAATTTCGGGATTTTTCAATTTGTCATTCAGAAGTGAAATTACTTGTAATTTACTATTTTAATAGCAGTTTTATATAATTTTCGGTTATATGATTGGTAAGAAAAAGCTTTGAAGAGCATAACCAGTCAAAATTGATCCTAAAGTCGAAAATTTACATTCTAAACAATATTGGTAGCCGTATTTTTCGAATATTCATCCAAATTTTGTATTTAATTCACAAATAAAATTTTTAATACAACATGGAACTTAAAATTTTCTAATTTAGATGTCAGATATTAAATTGAAGCAATAAACAAGGTCCCTAAAAAGGGGAAATCTTAGTGAGGGAGTGCAATCACAACTAATAAATAAAATTAGATTGGAGAATTTTTGCATCACCGCTCTCGGTACCATTTTTACTGGATGCAGTATAAATTTTTCTTTGCATACGCATGAATTCTTAGTTTTATTGAATAAATTGAAGAATAGGAATACATTTTTACTGTGTAGTGAACGAGAAATGGGTTAAATTAACTGAGGTAGATATGTAAGATATAATGGCTAAATAATTCTGAGCTACGTATTTGTTTAAAAACATATATACAAATTTCAACTTCATATATTAATTTGGCTACTCTATGCAAAATCATCGAACCTTTTGAGGGAGCAAGTGTTCTATTTAAACGATTAATGCTTCCAGTAATAAAAATGGTACCGAGAGCGGTGATGCAAAAATTCTCCAATCTAATTTTATTTATTAGTTGTGATTGCACTCCCTCACTAAGATTTCCCCTTTTTAGGGACCTTGTTTATTTATAACTTTTAATTCGGGAATTAGATTGTCCATTGGATGACTGCATTGCACTACCCCTTTTCAGTAGTTTGATCCGGAATAATTTTATTAAATTCTGGGTGTTTAAAATTGAATAAATCCGTTATTTCTTAACCGATTTATATCATTTTGGTCAAAATGTCCGGCCTAGATTACTAAACACCAAAAGACCTGATCTGGAGGTGCAAAACCAACAACAATTTCACGCAGTTTACCAAGCATGTTACAGAAACAATTAGTTATGCTGTTTACAGTTTTGAATGTAATTTGTTTTCAATTTATTAGTCTTGCGTCGTTGTCAATGGCAATGATTCGTAGCACGAGCAGGAATTTCTGAACTTCAAATTGGAATAACTAAGCCAATTCTTAACGGATTTTGATATATTTATACTTAAAATTTTCGGGATAAACTGCCCTACAATTCGTGGGTATCAAACTTTTGATAAAGTTTGCTAGTAACTAGCAATAATTACAAATGTGTTTCTAAGGCTACATTTTTGCCCATAATTCCGGTCAAGATCACGTAATCCCTTAGTCGGATCAGATCCCGTTTCTATATTATGTAACAATAATCGGTGAAAAATTTCATTAAAAAATCGGTTGAGAAATGACTGAGATATCGCAGATGGTCACTTTTTTGGGGTGGGTCAAATGCATACTTAGTAATTTTTTCGTTGTTAGGTATTTGCCTCACTAAGAAAAAGAACGCCGTATTTTCGGCATAATTATGGAATCCGAAATCACGTATGCCCAAAAACACTAAAACGTTACAAGTGATTCCAAATTTTAGTCGATGAATTTAAGGCTGAATGAAAAGCTTTTTGACTGAACGAGGTAGTTCGTATATTTGAGCTTGAAATTTTTGAATTGCCAAATTCCATGTCCAATTGTAGTTTTTGAATAATTGTTCGCGATTTAGGCCAAATAATACTGCTAAACTTAAGTTTGTGCATTTCTGGTTAACATGGTGGCGAACCCTTGATTAATTATTTATGTTTTCTGGAATGAAATTATCAAACTTTTTCTCATCACCTCTCCAAGATAGATGACGAAAATTGAGCTACCACAATACATCGAAATTTTGCATTTATCATAGCAGGCAAAACAATATGCTCGCTAATTTGTGTTACTATCATGTGTATGCCAGAAAATAGCATACTTTATAATAATACTTATGAATGCACATATTTGGAAAACACACATCAGTAGATATGTAAATATTATGTAATATGTAATGTAAGTATTATAAATATGCTCAGGCTCGGTACTTTTAGAGCCATGTGCACCATAATTTGACTAAGTTATACGGTAATATTTGAATTTCGGGAAAAAATCCCGGGATTTGTCACGGCGAAAACCGGGATTCCCGATTCCCGGGATTTAAAAAATCGTCCGGGATTGGAATCCCTATTCGTAATGGAAAGCATAATATGCTTTCCATACATACATATTATGTATGTATGTACAAGTATGTCGTTATGTAGCAACATGTTCGTGTATAAATATGTACATATTTAGGTGCATACATAAGTAAGTACGTTCACTCGCTGCTGCGTCATGTTTATAGGCCTGCATTTTGGTAAGATGGCTTATTTACTCCCATCCTACAATTTTTGAACTATATTTTATTTGAAATTATTTGTACGACGAAATAGAACTTGTTTTTTTAGATTGGATTTCACCAACTGAATTAAAAAAATAGATTGATGTTCATACATATATACAAGCTTGCACATATGCATATATGGACATATCCGTACGTGTGTACCTAGGCAATTATTATTGGGGCCATAAACATAAAATAAACGAACAATTAAATAGTAAGCCTAACTTAGGATCTACCTCCTTCGATTAATGTGGTTAATTATGTAGCTCCTCCATATTTTTTTACATTTCAGATAAGATTCTTCAAATCCTTCTCATTGCCTAAAAAATAAAAATAGTTACGTAATTGGGTCTCATTTACGTACCCTTGAAAAGTTTAGGTTGCCATTAAATATCGATCGGTTTATTACTATGTAGTAATAAAAACAAATTAGGAGTTTCTTAACTTTATTGTAGCCCATAACTTAAGACATGTATGTATATTTAATTGTATAAAATTTCTATAGCAAGTCATTTCAAATGTCAAATAACTATATATTTATCTGCTTAGGCATTCAACCGAAGGTCGAAAGGAGGGTAAATATCTATATAAATCAACTTGACTTTCACATTTTGGAGTATAATTTTGAAACCAAAACTAAATGGTTGTTAGTTACAAGCTAACTATGGCCGCCAAGATCCTAAAATTTTTAGATTTTTTGAAGCGCAATTCTTCCTCCTTCGGGGCGTATGACGCACTTCAACATTTCGCTATGTTTAGTGAAGCTTTATATTCCCAATATTTCACGTGGGAACGGCCGTCATGGAAACCAATCCCAACCAGGAAGATTAAATTGATCCCGTGGTATTTTATGTCCTTGGTTATCATCCTATCCACATTTGCATACAGTTGGGTCGTCTTCAAAGAAATTTTGGTACATAAGAAGGACCCCGAAATGACCACCATGTCCAGCTTGATGTTTCTCCTGTATAATTGTGTCCACGCTTTAGCCGTACTTGTCGTTATTACATTTATCACTCAAGTCAAGGAAATCTGTGTTGTTTTGGGAAACCTGCAAAATATGAAAGAACATAGCGGAGGTAAGTAGATTATGACTTCATAAACTCTTAAACTCATGAGACCGAAGCAGTTCGTTTGTATGTAAAAACTAGTGTTGCCGGTGAGGTGAGCTAAACTCACATCAACTCACGTGAGCTGAGTTATGAGGTGAGCTGAGCTTGCCTTGAATGAGTTGAGGTGAGTTGAGCTCATTTATTAAACAAGCTGAGGTGAGTTGAGGTCAACGATCATGGTATCCTATAGAGATAAACAGTTCCAATGTTAGTTATTCAGTGTAGGACGGGGCTGGAATGATGTGATTGGCTGGTTCGCAGTTCAAATTTCTCCATGTATTTTTGATGCCGCATAAATGAAGCCGTAGCACTCGCTGCGCACCATCCGTCTCACTTTACCCTTTACCATCTCTTCTCATCACACTTTATATTTTACGTCCCAGAACAAAAAAACAGTTTTTCGTGCTTCGGTGTCTACCACACCCACCCACCATCATCAATTATTAAGTAAGTTTAACGACAAGATATGTCAGAGCAGTTTTACAACCATGCTCAGGATTTAATGTGACTTAATTTTTGTACAGATTTTCATCATCTCGAATGGAGAATTTTTGCGACTTTCTAAGTTCGAATAATTAATTAAAAACTGAAAGTTGTTGTGATGCAGATTTACAACCAAATTTATTGCAACAAAAATTGATTTAGCATAAATACAATTTTACTAACTTTACGTTTGACAAACGTCTAAATAACAACTAAAAAAATTTGTTGTGCCGTGTTGTCACCACTGAAAGTGTGTATCCACCGGCAATATTGATATATTGAAGCAATTGTTATCTAATGTGAATAAAACATCTTTGTTGTTTATAGATTTAATAATGCATCTTCACCAATAAAAACAACTTTGCCGTAATAACCAAACATCGAAATAATTTCCCGGTTGCAAAATATTTTATTATAAATAGTAGCAATAATTTTCGTGCCTTGAGTATATAAGGATAAATTAACCCACCCCCCTTTCGGTGGAGACACAGACAATGGTGAAGACACAAATGGGGTGGAGAGGTCGGTAAAACTCTTTGAGAAATTTCTTGAAGGTGGCTAAAAGTGTTTGCTGCAAACGACAGTTTTAGGTGATACGTTTTCCTTATCGATGTCGAGAATTTTACACCACTGCTGGAACCTTTAAAAAAACTAAAATTAGCTATCAGAGGAAAAAAGAATGAGAGAGATGAGTTATTTTGCATCGGAAGTTGTACCTGACGCTTTGGCAGAAAGGAGTAATTACGATTTTCTTGGTTTCAAGAATTATCACAATTAGTACCGCAACACTTTATATTTCGGACCGTAACAAACGACGGTTTATTAAATTCAAATAAATGTTTTGAGCAACTGGATTTCCTGCGAAAAATAACAAGCAATTAGTAATTTGAAACCTGCTTGAAACAAATAACGTGTTTTCATCATATTTATGTGTCTCCACCGTTAATTGTTTATTTTAAGAAGATTTTGAAGAAGGTTTTGATAAAGTCACACTGAATTTGAGTACATGAAGGCAAATCTGTAATTAAAATGAACGTGTTTCCACCAGATACATGTGTGTGTCCACCGTTCGTTGCTTTTTTAATTTTTGGAGATAAGAAACTATTATTTTAATATTATGGTTGAACCTGGTAAACTTTACTGACGTTCCTGAGAATTTCACACTATTCCCGAGTCACGAAAAAGGTCTCATAGTAATTGATGAGTCTGTAATTAAACAAAATAACAAGGAAATATTGATGTAACAGTTGCTTGCAATAATGAACGTGTTTCCACCATATTAATGTGTCTCCACCGTTCATTATTCTTTTAATTCTAGAGGAAAGAAACTATTTTTAAGATCAAAATAAAATTTACCTTAAGCGAAGTTTTGAAAGTTTTTTAATAGTCTTGACAAAGTCACATTGATTTAAGTACCCTTGTTTGGCCAACTAGGTGAACCTGTAATAAAATTAATACATTTTAGTTATCGACTGCTCATTGGTAGCGAAAGAGTGGGTGTGAAGATATAATTTGAATTTGCTTTGTATAAACGCACACTGATATATCAGATAAATTGACCGGTGGAGACACGGATCTGGTGGAGGAAGGGGCAATAGGTCACAATATTGAGTAACAATTGGCACAAATATTATATCTGCAATTCACAAAAATAAATTTAGTGGAACTTAATTTCCAACAATGAGCGTGTTTTCACCATACATGAACGTACATATATGTGTATTCACCGTTCATTATATGAGAAACTATTTTTGAATCTTGTAAAACTTTAACGAAGTTTCCGACAATTTCACACTGTTACCAGGTCACGAACAACAACTAATGGTAATTGATGAGTCTATACTTCAATAAAATATAGTACATTACGAAATACAAGTTCCTTGGTCCTTATTGTTGCAGAATCCAGTTAAAGTTGTTATTTACCAGGTTGGCCGGCGATGACACAGATTTCTGGTGGGGGCACGGCAGAGAGGTCGCAAAATTAATGGATGAAAAATTGTCCTTAGCAGTTACCTGTACCAATAAATCGCAATAAATTAACATCCAAATCACTCGTAAAAATGAACGTGTCACCACCATATTTGTGTCCCCACCGTTCATTGTTGAAAGAAAATAGTAATTCTTTTACTACTTACCGAGAGTTGAAGCTTAGAGCTTAACTTGTGGTGAGTTGAAGCGATTTATGTAATTGAGTGGATGTCAGAAAATTAATTTGTAGGATATTAAATAATCTTTTAATTATTCAGCTTTTCCGAGTTTGGCAGCAAGAATGATGGTAAAGGAGACACCTGATTTTGGTGCCAAGAAAGGAGTGAGATTTCCAAGTAATGGGGAAATTGAGATTGGGAAATATTGAGTTGTGCCACGGCCCTGTTTTTATGGGCGGATGCCAATAAAAACCGTCAGCCAATGACAGCATTTGGAACCCCATTTCCCTATACTGAAACAATAACCATATCAGTTGAGGTGAGGTGAGCTGAACTCACAAGCCAGCTCATTTAGCCAAGAAGCAGATTTCCCATACAAGGGGACGAGAATAAATGCGCGATTCTGTTCCACTCGTACACAAAAACACAACCTGATTTAACACGTCGCATCTTTGCTCCTGTTCAATTAATTACCAAAATTTTTTACATAATCAACACCTTAAAAGCTATAAGGATTCCTTATTGCCGAAATTCTTATAAAAGTCAACCTTATTATAAATATGATTATTAACCAGGCAAATCAAGGTCGTTAATGTTTATATAATCCATGGTCAGAGTTTCAATAATTCTGCATGCCGCAAGTTTCTACTTCTCTTATTAAATTAATACTGTTAATGAAATCTTACCAGTCTTAGGTGTTTTTTAAAGTTATTAAATAGGTCACATGACGTTAAAGTTCACGATCAGGTTGCACATAATCAGACAGTGACAATTTGTGTATGTTCAAGTAATAAATAGAGGAAAACAATTTTAAACTGCGAACATGTTATTGTATAATGGTCTGTGATCTTTTGAACAAATAACACAATTATATTGAATTGAAAATCCAACTTTCAAATTTGTACAAGTCAAATCTGTATATATTTACGTATTTGTCTGCGTGCGTGGAATGGCAAATGAGCTCAACTCACCTCAGCTCATTTAAAGTGAGGTGAGCTGAGCTTGCCTGAAAACTCACCTCGCCTCAGCTTGTGGCAACACTAGTAAAAAGCTATGATTTTAATTACTTAATTTAGGAAACGGTGAATCTAAACTCATTGGACTTTTACTTCACGCCATGATTCCAGCCCCAGTTGGAACCAGTTTGCTATTTTCCATCATTCCGATCGTCCTTCCCAAGGTGGAGCCGACATATTTCGTCTTTCAAAATGTGTCCTCACTTTCACCAATTTTGAGCATGATTTGTAGAATTCTTACCTTATCAATTGCAACGTTTCATGGCTCCATGGTAGTTTATGCTGGTGTGATATATGGAACTAACACTATTCTCGCATTTCTTACCTGTTTAAGATTCATGACAAATTGTAACGTTTTTCAACAGCAATTACACACACAAAGAAAGATAATTCCGACGTTGCGATTCAAGTTTCAAAAATATCTTCCGAATTTGGAAGCTTTCCGCGAAATTACGCAAAATACCGAGAACTGCAAATTATCATTACAATCATAAATCGGATCTCATTCCTTGCTTTCCCATTCTCGATGCTGGTCATTCACAACGGTTTGGTGTGCTTTGGATACATTTTGGTCAAGTTGACGGTGCCTCTGCCGATAACGTTGCTGGCAATATTTTTCATACTTCTGTTCATCGGATGTGTCCACATCTTGTTACCTTTAATGGTTGAGATAGAAATCAGGTCGGGAACTTTTATTAAGTTTTGGAAACGACAAAAGGTTTCACATTTTCGGAGGAAGCAGTTGGAAAGTTGCAGATTGATAAGAATGTCGATTGGACCATTTATTTATGTGAAGAAGGGGATAAGGATACATTTTTTCGGGTTAGCGTTATATCACACAGTATCGTTGATTCTTGTAATGTGATATCTGTAAGCTTAAAAAAGGCGATAAAGTAAAAAAAAATACATGCATTTCTTAATGTAAGCATTATAAAATTACATAATGCAGAATTTGTGTCGTTATATGATTTGATCGTTGAGTTCATTATATGCATGCATTTGAATTATTTGCAACGTATGTATTAGTGTATGCATATGTATGTACCTGGATGATGTATCATTGATTTGTCAAAGTATGTAGGTATTCTATCTGTAATAGAACTTTGATTATTAAGAGCCCGTATTGAACTTCCATTTGAATACATTAAAAATTAAATTTCCGAAAAGATAATTAAAAAAGCTCGGCGCGGTCGATAGTTATCGTATGGACAGGTGGTCAAACAAATCAATCAAAATAAAGTATTTATGTCAATTTTTATCATCAATTTCTTCAGATAGCGCTAGTTCATAACTGGGAACGAGTTTATACATATGTAGTACATATGCAAATCAATATATTCGTAGGTATTATGTATTAACTTTGTATCACTATTTGATAGTCCACAGCGGTGGTTGCTTATTTATGGCCTCGTGTGCTGCGGTCAGCGAAAACGCCATGAGTATTTTAAAATTCCTTAACAACAAAAAACTCAAATCCTTGAAATTGAAGTCCCCCTCCCTCGGAGTGTACGATGCCCTCCGACATTTCGCAATATTTAGTGAGGCTTTATATCACCAATATTTCACGTGGGATCGGTCGTCATGGAAGCCATATCCAACCAGAAAGACAAAGCTGTTCCCTTGGCATTTTATGTCCTTGGTTGTCATCCTGGCCACAATTTGCTATACTTTAATCGTTATCAAGGAAATCCTAGCGCATCAGAAAGATCCGGAAATTACACTAATTCCAATTCTCCTGTTGCCTCTGCACGTTGGTGTTTACGGTTTCGATGTGGTTGTGATTGTCACGCTGATTTCTAAAGTGCAGGAATTCTGCTTCTTGTTGGGAAATCTGCGGAAAATGAGGGACTCTGTGAATGAGAGTATTGGTAAGACGCGATAATGGGCGCACTCACCTCAAGATAACGTTTGAGTTGAAAATCTAACTTCGGATCAGCCGTGCTTGCGATCTCGTAAAATGTTTGCTTGAAAATTGAGATTTTTTTGACTAATTCACCAAAAACTGGGCATATTTTTATTTGGTCAAACACTAAAGAAAACTAATTCTCAACATCACGAGCGATAAAAATTCCAGATAATCTGTGAAAACCAAACCAAACATAACTATTTGGATATCTATGTATAGCTTTGCGAAATTTGCAAAATTAACTTTTGCGAATCATATCTAATTTTTTAATTTCGCAAGTTTGCTAATTCAGTTGTCGTGAGTATGCCCAGTACAATTCTTATGTTTGGCAAAATTTAGTATCTACTATTATATGAATTTGTCATCTTAACTGAATTTAATAGGGGATACAGAACCTAAACTACTCGGATTACTACTTCACATCATGATTCCAGCCCCAATAGCGACGACTTTAATTTTTTTCAGTGTTCCACTTTTACTCCCGCACGTCGATCCGACATACTTTCTCTTTCGAAGTGTGATCACACTTTCACCAATTTCCACCCTATTTTGCAGGCTTTTTATCATATCAATTACAACTTTTCATGGCTCCGTACTGATCTATGTTGTCATCATATACGGAACTAACATTTTTCTGATGTTGCACACTTGTTTGAGATCAATGATAAGTCAAACCCATTTTGAAGATCCAAAACACCAAGAAGAAACTTATCCTGGGAGTACAATTTCTAATTTAAGCGTTTTATGTCGAGTTTCGAAATTTTCCGAAAAATTGGACCTGGTTACCTCCTTCTCAAGAAACTTATCAAAGTATCGACAACTTCAACTTATGATTACAATCTTTAATCAATTTTTTTTCATTATTTTGCCATTCGCCATAATAGTTCAAATCGTCTGTTGTGTCGCATTTGGATACATGTTGATCAAATTGAC